TGGCTTTGACAAGTGGATAACGGGGGTGCAGCATGCACATGAATGCCCATACAGACAAACGGATATTTAGTTAAAAAAAAACTAGTTCTTTTTTCGTTTTAATCGGCGACTAATCTTAAAATGTCTAGTGCAATGTTTCCCTCTGCACGGGGTACCAGTTTCCCTGTCTCTGTATATTCGTTATAGCTACTACTTGACGTTGTGCTAACAAAACTTCAACGTTTCCGGAAAAAAATTGTGCTCAGCGAAAAGATAAATCAGCGGATGACGCGCCGACGCGTAAAGGAAACGCATCCCGTCACCTGCTCGTGTACCTGTCTACTGCGTATGGGCTTAATCAATCTCGGCCATATTTGAAGAACATAGAAAGTGACCGTTGCACATGTTCATTTACACTTACATCTGCAAAGCAGAAGGACTCGGGAAAACTACATTGAAGTCGTCAGTGAAGCTTGTCCAGTTGATGCTTCTGAAGAATGAGTTCCTCACACATGCATATGCACACATTTACGCAGGTACGAATCGTAGGATCTGTTCTTCCACATGGAACGGTATTCACGTTGTTCGAAGAACAGCAATGTTGCATCGGCTGCTGCTCTAACATGGGTGCAGTATCCTGTATTTAAAAGAAATACTCGCTGGCGTAATCACTGTTCTGTTCATCGGTTTGCAGAATTCCCCAGCCCAGTACTACCGAACTTTAGTGGTGAACTAACAGTTCGTAGTACACACCGACATAAGTATCAGAGAGTACTCAATTTGGAGAATCGGGAATTGCCGTAGCAATCGTTGTTGTACATCGACAGCAAAAAAGGCAACGAAGATCAGAGAGAAGTAGAGAGGGAGAGAGAAAGAAAGAGGGGGGGGGGGGGCGAAGGCGTCAATATCGAGGTCGTCTCTATCCGTTGCCGTTGGTGCTGCAGTTGCAGTCGCTCACGCACATGCAAGAATGCGTCGTTTTGCTTCCGTGTGTTCTTGCTTCGTTTGTTGACTGCTATCTAAGTCCATTTCTCTATTTGTCCGTCCTGTCTAAATCGTCTGACCTCCGTTATTTGATGATTTGGCGAAGTCGCTGCTGAGCTGGGGTGCCGAAGTAGGCTAGTGATGTCAGCGGTATTGGTCGATTTCGAGGTTATAGAGCATCACAGTTGCGGCAACTGCCATAATCAGGAGACCGCCAGACCTACCACTATAGTTGACTACGATACACTGAGTAAGTGCATCTACGAACGAGCTAGCTCTACTACTGAAATAGGCCAACTAAGGACGGACCTCTGCTGTCCGCCGACGTCGTCTCCGCTGCTGCTTCTGTGTTCAAACAAGAGCCACATGCCACATGCGATGCGACGTCGCTGGCATGCGTACTTTGATCAGGTCTACTTGGTGCGGCCGGCTCTAGACCCGCCTGTTGGTTGGCCTGCTTGCCTGTGTATAAGACAAAGCCCATAGCCCATCAGCTATGCATCCTGCGTGTGCCCATCTCTACGGGACGGAAACATATTCTATAGCATCAGTAAGAGCATTTGCTCGCTTTCTAAGCTCAAAAAAAGATGAAAACTTTTAGCGACATCTTCCTGCTCTCCTTCCATCGTCTTATTTTTCCACCGGCACCTTGTCGCCCTCGTCGCTGTTGTTGGTTGTGTCGTCTTTTTCATCGTTACCAGCGCCGTTTTCCCGTCCTCTTTATTTCATGTTTTCGCAGTGAACCTGACTTGCGCGAATGTTGCTGCTGCTGCTGCTGCTGCTGTACAAGTGTGTGCGCTCTCGTATATGAAAATGGTAGTCCACTCTGTGGGCTCATCTGTAATGCTTGCTATGATCCCTGTTACTACCACGTTTGACGCCTCGACCCTGGCCACCATTGCCGAGCCTGATTCAAACTCCTTTCCGGCTATTGCCGCCTAAGATATTACCGTTATTCGCGAATTGAAAAGGCAGCAAATACTGCTCCCGCTCGGAGATGCTAATGAATAGCAGTTGCTCGCCATGAGGCAACAACAACAGCGGCTGCAATCGGTTTCGCGTTTTTGATTCTCGGATACCAGTGAACACACGCACGTGCATATATATATATATATGCGTGTATGATATGTATCCGCCGTTCGTTCTAGATCGTAAAGCTCTTGTGTAAGTCAGCAGTCCCAGCAGAGGTTCACTTGTCGCCATTGAGAGAAGACCTGCCGATGTTGTAATGGAGACAGGAAACGGAAAAAAAATCGCGGACGAGTGCACAAACCGAGAAGTCTCAGGACGCAACATAACACACACACCAAAAGATACAAAAGTCACACCCACGAGGATGGTGTTAGGGCAATGGCAACCCTAGAAGGACTCGTTGTAACAACATAAGCAACAGAAGCCGTAGCATAGGACATATGCCGTTGTCACTCGATGGTGTGCGCGCGTCAGGTCAACCGATCGACCGACCGACCCGGCCGGCATGTCTGTCTATTTACCTTTGTGTGACGGGCAAGCTTGTCGCCGCCGGACTCTCTAAGAGTCGTCAGAGCTGCAGTGTCATAGGCACCGGTTAGTTTTCGCCTGTGGTAATTTCCATGCGCAGCAACCGCTAGCGAAAGAGTTTTCCATATCTGTTGCCATCACGGTGGGCATGCCCTGCATCGCTTATCATTGCATACGGAAGGGGGTTTCTGCTAACTAGGACAAGTACCTACGACTTTTTCAGCGCTGTGGTTTCGTCATTTTTGATGATACGATGTACCTAAGTATTACACAAGGACGTGACATGGTGAACTAACTAGTTGATGTAAGACACGTGAGCTTCCTGGATTCAATATGGCGTACAAAATACGCATAGAAGACTCATCCATGGAATAAACTGTTGCGGCGGCATCAGCCGCGGTTCCTATTGTTGCTACTGCCGCTACTTCAAGAATCAGTGATGTCAGACGTGCCAGCAAATGGTCATCGCTCATTTGCAAGCAAAAGCGCTTAGTTGATTGTCGTTTGGTTCAGTAGACACTCGCACGATCTACATATTTGAACGGGTGATTACAACGGCACCGCTAATTCTTGGCTTAGCCATGTAAATCGCTTTAGCTTCTTCGCTACTTCAGTACAGCTCTTAGGCAAAGCGAATCTCGACAAAGAAGCGGCCGAGGTTTATTATGGGATGGCGTCCGCGCCCGTCTACGACCACACAACCCGTTATTGTGGGTCCGGTTCATTCTTCACAGACTTAGCGAACCTCGATTGTCTGTTTTGTTGTCCTCCATATCGCTACACATTTATCTAGGCTACGAGTGAGGCATCTCGAAGCTTTACGCAAATTTCTACTGCAAAGGTTCACATGGCAACAGCAGCTCGCGATAAGCTATAAAAAATCAGTGGCCACTTACCTTACATGTGTTTTTTTTCTTTCGGAGGTGAGAATTTTATTAAAAAAAAATACAGAAGAAAGCTCAGTCAGCTTGGCTACTTCGACTAGCGGAAACGCTGCACTGGCTCAATAAGATGATCTGTAGACGTTGTTCTTGCCAGTACAAATGGTGTTTCAGTTAAATCAATAATCACAATACAGCAGAAAAATGTTTTCTTTGCGATTTTCTAATGGGCTAATGAGGAACAGGTATGGCTACTTTTAGTCGCTTTCAGCAAGAAATATTTACGTTTGGCAGAGGCCTTCGTCCCAAGGCGGTCGAGAATGGATTAGGGATCTGAAGATCGAACGAAGAAGCACCCTCTGATTACCGCCCGAATTTGGTCTTCTGACCCTTCGTTATCTGATACCTGATATACGGATCAATCGACACCGTCACTCTCATTGCACGGTGTTTGGGAATCGTTGTACTTTATTGTACTTCGAGTCTATCACAGGAGTGTAGGCTCAATACAGACGGCCAAGGCGAAAAAGTTGCCGTTTGCAGATGTTTGCTTCTCCCTTTGCCAGTGAATCTCCATAGAGAAACCTAGGCAATGATAGCCAGTCGACGTATGGCTGATTGAGACAATTGCCGACGAAAACGACCTAACGGTAGTCGCCGATGCATATCAAGCTTGGATGAGGGTTGTTCCAAAATCCTTGGAGATATAATCTTAGGAACACGGTCCCGTTCCGCTGAGTGCTTTAGGCGCCTCTGTAGAACGTTAGTACCATTCTCAGATATTGTATAAGGGCACCAAGTCAGGGGGCAGTGGCACCGATGGATAGCTAAGCTTCGGGTCGATGCGAATGGATACTGTACAAATGCTACGGCTGCAATGTCATCGAACCCCCCGTTGCACATTGACTCTGTCCTCCTGCAGCAGTCGGACAAAGAACGAAGAGCTGGCCATTGCACTGCTCCTAGCTAACCTCAAAATACCAGCGAACGCATTTAACGTAGCCCGATTTAGTAACATAACAAGCTGCTGGGTCGTCTCTCGAATAGAGTATGGCGGGCTGACTGTTACTGGGAGTGAATGGTAGAAAGTAAAGGTGCATTGGAGGATCAGCCATTGGGTTTGCTCTTGATGTGGCTGAAGATCACGTGCCATTTTTGGATGATGCCCTCATCGCGTCAGGAAAATGTTGACTTTAGGATTCAGCAGAAGTGCGGGGTGTCATTGCAAGCCGCCTATGTACTGCAATTTCTAACTCCCTCAAATAGTATTTGGACCCAACTAATCATCAACAACGAAGGCGCCACCAATCAGTTGGAGAATGATATTGTATTCCCATTTGACTAGTAAGGTCACTGGAACTTGCTCTAGCTACCATTTCCCTAGCTAAACGTTAGAGCTTTTGAATAGTGACTTTGCCCATAGTAACTAAACAATAACGTTATTTATTATTGTTATCGTTTCAAAGATAATTCAGTCAAATCATGACGTCACTGTATCATATTTTCCATGCGCACGTATTGTACGCATGAAACTTGCCTTTTGGGTTCGAAGCGCAGCGGCCTCGTTCCTCCTGAACCTCGATGGTCTTCGTATTGCGTCAGGTTTAATAATTACCGTCATAGGTAATGTGAACTCTAATAAATCATTACACCTACCTGGTGTGTCAGCCTGTTGGCTAGAAATGCGTCCCGAATACGGTCAGGAGATTGGGGATAACCCGCACTCCCGCTGGAACCAACGCCAGAGCCCCCGACGGCCCCAGACGAAGAGCCGTTTGATGCGGTACTACTGCTATTCCGCTGTTCGGGAAGTGATGAACATGAGGAGGTGGACGCGGGACTGAGGGGCGCGGATAGCGTTACTCTACCGCCAGGCGGTATCACCCCAGCTGGCAGTGCCAAGCCCCCCAAGGCGGCTTCTGAGCTGGCGCCTGTTGTCAGGTTTCCGCTGCTACCGCCTGGGAAATTGGCTCCAGGGTTAAACAGCTGGCCACCAGGAAGTGACGTCATTAATTCGATAAGCTTGCCTGAAAGCGAAAGCGACAGTAATATTATTATTCGAGACAAAAGACAAACATGGTAGTCAAATGCGTAACAATGTTAGAAGTTATTGGCCAGTAGAACGATGACGTGTGATTTATTTGTCATAGACAGGATATGACGAGTGAGCGTGGGGAGTATGATATCAGTAACTGTTTAGCCGATAATATCCTTCTTGCGACCAAACTATGAACTTATAGAATGCTATGTAGTTCTGAATCGGTTTGACCACCTTCAGGCAGGTAAGCGTTATATCTCTGAGAGTGATCAGTTAAAGGAACATAAATTTACGAAGCCCCGCTTGCACGATAGTTTGTTTCACATTATATTCAGTACGATACCACCGTGCTTGATTTCTGAAACTTCATCATTCACTCCTGCTAAATGGCTATACAAATGCCATCAACATGGCACTTGCACTGTTCGTCAATCGCAAAATATTGGAGAAGTTTCCTAGAATTTCTAGTAATGCAAGTTAAACAATCCCTTACCACTTTGTGGTTAGATAAGAGCAGATTGCTGGAAATGGCCTGAGGCCAGATCCAGCTTATCTGCGCGAAGGCCCAGTGCAGCGTTTCGTTTTTTGTATCGCCGCTGCGTCTATCGTAAAAAAAACCGTCAAATAGTTGGCGGCTAGCAAGTTTGTCAGCACGCAAACTACAAACAGGACAACTCAGGAGTCGGCCTTTGAGCTAAGTAGTTCCAACTTGACGTGAGCAGGAACGAGGACGGCAAAGAAGATTAAAGCCCTCATGGTTATTCCTTTTTCGTAGCCTTGGCTTGAGTTGTAATGTTTGCCGCTTCGCGTTAGATGCATACCAATCGCGATAATTTTCATCTATAATGGAGCCTACATACGTATACTAGAGATCAGAAGGGGGTCTAACGGCGAATTTTGACTTTTATTATTTTACCTGTATACGTGTGTAAGCTACAATGCTGTGAACGGTTTCTATCTTTTGCCTTTTGTCATGGTAACGTTTGTTACGCAGCTATCGCATCGTGCTTCAGATAATTAAGCTTGACTCTATAAATCAACGAGCTATAAACAACAATTGCTATCTTCATAATTGAGCTTGCATAGTCACAACTTCAGCGCGATGCGGCAACAATTCCAAACGTACCGCAACGTCGGTCGTTGCATTATCGATCGGTAGTAATCGGTCTGCTTGTTTGCGCTTTTAAACACCTTAAATTTCAACCACCGGAAATCTTCCCAAGAATAATCTAATCAGTAAACTGCATTGTTTAATGTTACATGCCGTTACACAATCCTGATCATAAGCAGTCTTCAGCATTCGGTATTTTCCAGTATCCGTTGAGTAGTAACGGTGTAACGGCGTCTAGTCTCCGCATCTTCCAAATGTGCGCGTACTTACATAACTGCCTGTTCCATATCTTCTCAATACGTTCCTTGCGTAAGCAACGCTGTCGGGTCGGGTCGTGCGCAAAACGCCGCAACGGTCATTCCGCATAAGCACGACCAGCCTTGTTGTCTTCAAAGTCGGCATAATACGTCGGTTTAAAATGTATCCGCCAACACCCGTTAGAGAAACGAACATGCAATGTAGGGGAAACGGAGAAAGAGGAAGGGATTGGGAGGGGGTAGACGTGAACGGCGTCGTCAAGGATCCGCATCCGGACACAGATGCGCGAGACGAGGTAAGGGAAAGAGGTGGAGTGACATACGGCCAGCAGCAGCGGCAACTTCAAAATGTGAGAGTTGTCCGGGAGCAAACAGTCGCAGCAGCAGCAGCTGCTTTTCTCTAGTCGTTGGTGGAGGGAGGTGAACGGTTCGAAGGGTATGAGAATGCCGCAAGGGGCTAGACTTCGGGGCACTCGGTCGAGAGAGGAATGTGCGTTGCTGCTGAAACGATGGCAGCAAGAAAAGTGATGCAGATACACCAATAGACCCAGCAGGCTTGCGGCTAGAAACGCCGCACGCCTCAAAGGCCTACTCTGCTTTGCTTCCGTAACTGAACACAACCATGACAGCTAACGACGGCAGCAGTAGCAGTCATCCTTCGCTCGTAATTTTTAATCAGCAGCCGCCGCCACCGTTGCCGTCGTAGTGGAGCTGCTAGCCCAGTTTGACCTGGCTGGACGTACGTGCTGACAGCAGCGTCTGCAGAAGCATGCAGGCAAAGCTTGCTCCTTTGTCCTGCTGCCTACAGCATCCGGCTGAAGTCTAGAAACGTTTAGAAGTTGCGAGCGTTTGAGTGGTATCCTCTCGTGCTGCCGTAGGCAGCAGGCGGCAGCAGTATAGCTGCTACTAAAGGCCTCCTGTACTCTGCGGCTACTAGTAATATCACCATCGCCACTACCACCGCTCTTAAACTCCCCTCAACCCACTTCCCTTTCGACATCTACTCCCTCAAAGTTCCTAACCCCACACATCTTCTGTTCTTACTCTACAACATGCGTGCACATACACTAAAACGCGTTCCTTTCGCAGCACCGTCAACCGACATATGCCCGGCAGCTTTGCCCTATCCCGAGCCAACGCCGGCTGGAGGCGGGCAGAGATCGATGCGCCAATCAGCATTCAGACAACCGAACAGCCAACCCAGCGTTCTAAGAGTCGAGCTGAGCCGTACCAAGTCGAGCCTATCCAGCAGGCCAACAGCAAGAGCAATTCCAGCGGGAGCAGCAACTCTTGCCAACTCTTCCCTCGGTCCTCGACGCAGGCTCAACTCCAACACACAAGCCAGCCCAACCCGAAAGGCGCTCCTAGAGCCCTCCACCCCCGCTATTGCTACTGCTGTCGTTGCCGCCGCCGCCGAGACCGCTGCCCCCGAGGCCGCCGCCACAGCCGCTACACTAGGTTCCAGAAAGACCATGTTGCCGACAAACCCCTTCGTTTTTCCCCAATCGCCCGAGTTGCCCACTGTCTCGTGCTATCCGGCAACCAACCCCCTGGCAGCAGAAACCGTCTACAAGTGAGCGGGAGAATTGCGACGCCGCAACGAAGACGACGACGATGGGTGGCGTCGTTTTTTTTTTTGAATAACTACGCCGACAGCAGCGGAGGCAGCAGTTCGTTATTGCTTGTTCCCCTCCTTCGAGGACCGAACAACAACGTGGTAGTGATGGCGGTAGCGGCGCTACTGGTGCTGGGTTGCGCCGCAGCCCTTTAGAGTCGAAACCCCGCTCCACACAAAGCAAGGATTGCGCTGTTTGTTGGCCATGAAATAGGGAGGGAATAGACCAGTGGCAGCGGTGCCATAGGAAACTCGTAGGGCTACCGGATGCTGGCTGCTTCTGGAGGCTAACACTAACGCGGGAGGTATCACTCGATGAGCCGCAGAAGGAGAGGACACGCTCAGTACGAGCGGGCGGGAGAGAGAAACACAGTTCGCCATCGGTTGAAGGAAACAGGGAAGAGTGGATGCTGGGGTGCGGCATTACAGACACGCAGGGTTAGTGCCAAGTGTGTAGCAGGCGGAAAGAGACGGGTGGGAGGTAGCTGGGAAGTTGGCAGCCCCTGTTCGGCCAATGCAAGGAAAACTGCTTCCAACAATTGACGGATCTATCCCGGAGATCCTTTTGCAACGCCCTCCACACGCAACGTTACTTACGATGAATAAAAGCCTGATTCTGAGACTGGGAACAAGAACCGAAACTGTAGGAAGGAAGTAACCAATTTCGAATAAACCAAAATTATTAGAAAGCGTTAATTAGCGGATTATCCGTTTAGTAAAATCACTTTTTTGGGACAAAATGTGGGATTTCATAAAAAAAAAACGGTTCTCCATTAGTATATTTTATAGACACTCAATGCATATGGGTTATTTTGAATCGTAGTGCATGCAAATCGTGGGTAGACAAATGCAAACATGCCGCAGAAACTATCATAGCCAAAAGCTTCGTGAAAATTTATTGGAAATCTAGAAAGATTGAAAATTGTGAAGTCTCTTGCGACTCATCCTTCTAGAAAATGTCTAAATGCTCCAATACAGAATATCGAGAAATACATTTCGTTGTCTGTGAGACAGGTTGAGTCTAGTAGGAGTGCGATCGCATGGCAAAGTTTATTACTGCCAAAAACCATGCCCATCAGCTGTTGATGCTGTTGTTGCCATCGCGGATTGTTGTCATTTCAGCGCTTATCTTCTGCTTTTGGGTCCTCTTCATTTTCAACGTTTTTCTCATCTCTGTTGCTTTGTACAGTGACTTGTTATTGAACGGCTAATTGTTTTTGAGTTGTTGTGCTCACTAACTCAACCAAAGCAAGTGATTTGACAATTACCCTGATTTTTAACGCCATTATCTTTTTGTTGACAACTCATTTTGCGTTCCGACGCTCGGGCAAAAATAGCTTCGTGAGTTTCTCGTGGTAGCTGATTCGCCCTTCAGAGGCATCCAGTTCTCATTCATGTTCGTTTTCCAAAACATGCCCGTTAATTTGCTGAAGTCGTCGACTTCGTGATCGTGATCTTTATTGTTGTTTCGGTAGTTACTCGATGTCTAGCTTGTTGTTAGGAGGTGCTAGGCGGCCGCCATCCAAGCCGATGGGGTGCGGCTCCGGAGCAGCAAATGAAGTATCGCCAGCACACGGTGAAATCAGTGCTGAACGATGGAGGATAAAATAGATAAAAGTTCCGACCGAACGAAAAATCGGATGCAAAGCACCAGGCCAAAAAGTTTACGACGAAATGACGAGCTCTCAGCGGCGCATCTTGTCCTTAGCCCGTATACCGCCAATATATTGACATCTGACGACCCGTTATCCGCTACTGTTGCCGCCTGTTTTCTATTGCAAAACCCAAACACGCACACACGCATCCCCGCCGCGTCTATCGGGCAAAAGCAGCCGAGCTTGACACACACACGTGCACAAAGACACTCGCATGCGCGAACGCATCTCGTGACTGCCAACAGCCGGTGGAAAATCGTCGGGCAAATCCAGACGGAGCGACGATATTGTACAAACTAAAGAAAAGACGATACGTAAAGAACGGCAGGATAGAGGACGAGACAGGACAAA